CAGACGTGTGCTCTTCCGATCTCCCCAAAACCCCAAAACCCCAAAACCCCATGTTGAAATATATATTGTTTGAGATCGATAAATTATTAATAATTTAATATTATAATGAACAAGTTTGATAACTTAGGTGATACTTTAGCTGATGTTGACTGGAAGTCAAAGTCTCTCAAACCCTTTAAGAAAGATTTTTACAAGGTAATCCTAATTGAGTTTTAAGTATAAGATGTTAATGAATCTTTTAGGAACACCCTGACGTTTCAAAGAGATCTGAAGATGAAGTCAAAAAGATACTTGAAGGACTGAAAATTACGGTCAAAGGAACTAATGTCCCTCGGCCAGTCACAACATTCGAGGAGGCCAGATTTCCCAAGTACATTATGGAAACTCTAGTGACCTGTGAAAACTTTGTGAAGCCATCTGCTATCTAATCCTAAGGATGGCCAGTTGCTCTATCTGGCAGAGACATGGTAGGTATAGCAGAGACTGGTTCAGGTAAAACTCTCTCATTCCTGCTGCCCGGTATAGTTCATGTTAATCATCAAGAACTACTTGAAGTAATTTAAATTATAATTTACTTTAATTTTCAAGAGAGGAGAAGGACCAATTGTCCTTGTTATGGCACCCACAAGAGAGTTAGTGAACCAAATAGAGCAGCAATGCAGAAAATTCGCTCAACCATGCAAAATATCATGCTTAGCCATTTATGGTGGTGTTCCTAAAGATAGTCAATAGCAAAAACTATAAAAAGGAGTCGAAATATTGATAGCAACTCCAGGTAGATTGCTGGATTTTATGGAATCTGGAGTCATTAAACTTAATAAAGTCACTTATCTGGTTTTAGATGAGGCTGACAGAATGCTAGTAAGTTCAAACTCTCCTAATTTATTTTCGATGCTAAACTCAATTACCTGATTAGGACATGGGATTTGAAAAGCACATCAGGAAAATCTTAAGTCATGTAAGACCTGATCGACAAACTCTCCTTTGGAGTGCGACCTGGCCTAAGGAAGTTGAAGAGTTAGGTAGATCCTACTGCAATGTTTTGCCTGTGCATATTCAGATCGGCAATCCTGGTCTCACTGCAAATCTCAGGATTAAGCAGACTATTGAGGTTGTTGATGAAGATCAGAAATATTTCAAGTAATAATAAAGACTTTTGATGTTAATTGCTAATACAGGTTCATGAGTTTTATGAAGAAAATCAATGATGGATCGAAGGTCATAGTATTTTGTGAAACCAAGAGAGGAGTAGATGAACTAGCCAAGTGTATGAGACAAGATGGCTGGCATGCAGTAAAGGGCATCCATGGTGATAAATCTCAATCTGTACCTTTTTCTCAAACTTATTTAATCTTTATCAGGAGAGGGATGCTACCTATAAGGATTTTAAGGATGGAGTTTGCTATATACTGATTGCAACTGATGTGGCATCAAGAGGATTGGGTTAGGACCATCATTCTTTACATCGACATTTGAAACTTATAACTTCTTTTTACAGACGTCAAAGACATTAAGTATGTGATTAACTACGACATGCCAAGCTAATGTGAGGACTACGTTCATAGAATTGGTAGGACAGCTAGAGCCGGCTAGTCAGGAAGTGCTTATGCCCTATTTACCAAGAAGAATATGATGATTGCACCTGATCTTGTGAAGGTAATCCTATCAATTAAAAAATAAATGACATTTATTCAGCTCTTAAAGCAAGCTGGTCAAGAGATTCCAGAGTAAATATATGAATTCTCAGAAATGGCTAAGAAGACAAAAGATCAAAGTAAGACTTAAACTTCATAGTATTCTATAAAATAACTCTTATAGAACAACAATACAGGAAATGGAGAAGAGTAGACAAAAATGAGGGAAGTTACGGTAATGAGTCTTCCTACGACTAGCAAAGAGAGCGCACCTACAGTTATAAGGGAGGCAATTCTTAGCACGATCTGCAAGATGACGACAACGAAGAGTACAAGGAAGGTGAGAGAAAAGGAGAATCTGAACCCAATCCCTAGTTAAGTAATCAATTGGGTCAGGCTTCAGTTTCAACTAATTCTAGTGAGTTCACTCACAATGCAAAGGACGAGGTTGAACTTCAAAAGCTGAACAAGAATTTCCAAAACTACTTTGACAAGGACTAGACTAATTCTAATTCTGAAAGTAATCCTGCTAACAATGAAGGTCTTGCAAGTATGGCACCACCTTCATTATCTGCTAACTCAAGTGCTCAAGCAAATCCAGTTTACGCTAAGAAATGGGGTAAGAAGTGACCTTGTTGAGCTAAACGCCTTGTTCACATTCCTTGGGAATACTTATTGTATCTGTTTTAAGTTTGTTTTATTCTTAATTTCATAATACTTGCTATTCAAAAATCTATCTTACATGGGGTTTTGGGGTTTTGGGGTTTTGGGGTTTTGGGG